AGAAGAGATCATTTGTTGTATTTTAAGAGAAGGTGATAAGTTACTAAAATTGTTTATATTTGTTGTAATGAAGGGGGAAGTAATTTCTTTATATATTTCTTTTTTGTCTTTACTGTATTCTTATTTTTCTTTCTAGTTTTCAATTTTTTGTTTTCTGCACTTTCTATTTTTTCTTATTTGGTTTTCTTTAGGTTGTATTAGTTTTTATCTTTTTAATTGGAATTTTTAATAAAATTACTATAAAGAAAAAGAAATGATGCAATAGAAACTGTAAACTTACCAAGAGATAAAGGAACTTTTCTTTCAAAGCAGGTCTGCCAAACTTTTAAAACACTAAAATCTTGTCCTGCTTCCAGTAATATTTAACTATAGGATTGATCTATTCTTAAACAATCCCCTTGAAACAGCTTTCAACATCCTCAGAGGGAAAAGAATCAGTCCCATGCATCTCAATAAGCACTTTGTCATCTCATTTGAAATTTTGTGATCCATTCAAAATTATAGACATGACCAAAGAAGCTCCTCACCATGTCAATGGCCATCTTCCGGAGCATTTGCCTTTGCTTCTTAGAGAGATTCTGGAAAATATCACAGTTTTCCTCTTGTAAGAGTTTGAATCCTACTGCCAAGTGATGATTCTCCAACACAGATGCATCGTTATACATCAGCGCCAGTTCTGAATCTAGAAATAAAATTAAACATGGAAGGAAAGAGACAATAAAAGAGCATCATTAGTTTAAAGGTCAGCCTTGCAGGCAGTGTTTAGGATTGTGGCAGTCACTAAGTTTGGTAAGAAATAGGGCAGTAAAGTAAGAAAGCTGAAGAGTTCACATACGGATTTGAAATAACCTACCAAATACCTTTGGCTTATATGCACCTGTACTGAATATTTTCTTATTTGCTCACTTCATTTTTTAACATATCATATTCTAACCTTCTGATTAAATGTTAGGTCTCAGATAAGCCCATAGGCAGCTGATGCTAGATCATTGTGGCTTATCTTATGACTGCTGATTACTAGGTATCTTCCAAAGAACGCTGAATTACATGGCGCTTTGATCTGATTTAAAAATAAACTTAGATGGGTATTAGCCCTGCTAGCTAAATGAAGCCATCTAACAGGACCAAGACATCTTTGATGCAGGATAAGCAACTATGGATCACCATCATCTTGCTGTTCCTATTGCAAACTCCCTTGAGTCATATGCCTAGCTTCAAAGGTGAATGCTAAGCTACTTGCTTTGTTTTGATGCAGTAATTTCCTTTTTATGTTCTTAAACAAGAATTCATACTCAGAATCAGAAACAGTCCATCTTTTATCTTGTGTGTCTTACCTATCACTTTCCTCAAACTTACATACTGATCTCTGTTATAACCCTGAGTTTGTACTCCTGCTAGTAAATTTTAGCCTTGGTTAAGCCATAGAACAGCCTGAGGGAGACAGTTTCTGTATCCATGCTAATTAATAAGTAATGAAAGGACTTTTTAAGCATATAAAAAGTCAGTGCTTTACTGGTTCAGTGCAATTAACCACTTGTTCAGCATTCTTTGTTTTCAAGAATCAACAGGCTCAAGGTGGCCCCTCCAAAATTTATAAGTAATATCCTACGCTTACCATAGATAAACTCTGCTTCAAGAAGAGATCTACAGTCTGGGTTTCTCTTTGAAAGTTTACCCCACACTATTGGTAGTTTATGAGGATGTCCTGCTATCAGAAGTAAGGAGGTAGCACCAAGCAGAGAAGACATATTCTGGCAATGCTACCTTACTGATAGATCTCAATTTCCAGAAGAGCTCAAGATAAGCATTTATCTTACCAGACAAATATTTTAGTTTTTTCCTCCAAGTCTTTTTAAGTTCAGTATATATGCACCTATCTTAACCACAATTTGACTGGTTTTTATTATGATTTATTTGTGTGGCATTTGCATTCACCCTCCATAAGTGGGCTTGGTAAGGGGATAAATCTCACCATGATGAAGCAATAGAGAAAAACATATTTTTTTTCTACACAGCCTGTTTGCTGTGATATGAAGATACCCCACTAATAATTTTCTGAGGATATGTCCTCACATCAGAGTTTCCATCTTTTAAGCAACCCATTGCTATGGCAGGTTGAAGCTAGTTCCTTTCTCTTGGATGCTTCACCTGGACTCTTCGCAAAGTTGTGAAGGGACTCAAAGCAGCAGGCTGACCAAGATTTCTGGCTGGTTAAAATTGACTACTTCTCATGGTTTAAGGTAAAACAACCTGGACTGAAATTAACTAGTCCACCAGCTACCTCTTCTAAATATGTTAGTGTGTGAGAAATTCTGAAGTTGTTGATGATAGGACAGTTTAATGGCAAGATGGTTTTGAAAGGGAAAGCCAGCAGCAATTTACCCTTCACATATTCTAACCCCACCATGGACCAGCTTGTCTCTGACCCTGAGCAATGTCCATCTCAGTGGGTGCTGTATTCCCAAGTGGTCTGCCTTCTCACTATGATGAGCACTAAGTATTGAGCCTGAAATATCAGTATTTGGTGAGGGGCTTCAGTGCAACAGTTTGGAATATTCCAGGGTGTTTTTGCCATGGGAATATCAATCTTTCACCCTTCCAAAAGATCAACACTCACAGGACAAGCTGTAAAAGAAGAAGTGAATATTGACCTTGAAACCCCCTTACATAAAATATTCCAGCTGACTGGTAAAGGGACAGGGAGCACCTGGAGCTCTCCAACCCTGCCCGGCCATATATTCAAGGGAGCAGTTAGTGAGTTCTTTTCTTGCTGGTAGATGATGCCAGGTGGGAGTTGGAAGCACATCAGGGCTTTCATGAATTACTACCCTAAAATTACACAATGTTACATTGGGCACAGGCAGCAAACTGACCAGCTTTGTTGCTGAGTCACAGTAAAGGTGGGCTGTGGGGGCAATGCTTTTTTGTTTAGGCACACTTTCCTCCTGATTAAAGGATAGGAGGAAAACAGACATGTAGGATACAACCCTAAGAGGTAGATAAGCCCTAAACTAGATTAGACTGGAGACAATATCCCGAAGAACAAATGAAATTGTGGTATTAAAGGTGGTTCACTCACTGGTATTGATCAGGAACTGGTTAGAAACACCAGGATGGTCAACATCATGGATGGCAGCTGCAAAAATGGCAGCCAAAATCTCCAGGTCCGTGAAAACAGCCTGGGAGAAAAAAAGGAGCAAAATGAGCATTGGAAAAGATTGAGGAAGCCAATAAAAATATGAATGGAACACTAGATCTGGAATTCCACACTATATCAGTGTACATAGGAAGATACTTGAAACAGGGAGTTGGACTTAAAGACCCCCAAGGTCCCTTTCAATCCTATGATTCCATGATTCTAAGAACTACAGGACAACAGAGATATCGGTCTGCCATGCCAGAAATTTATTTTTTCTTGGAAGAATTACATGGCTTTTTTCTTTGAGTCTCACAGAACTCAAAGGTTTCCTTAGTAGGGGCTTACTAGTCAATTGCACAGCCCTTTCTTTTCCTACAGAAAGTCCCCCCAATGACTAGAAAAATTGCTCCAACAATTACAGCAAAATAAGGAGGATATGGAAATCTCCCTCTCTTTTTGCATCCCATTTCAAAGCTCCCCCCAAAAACCTTTTGTAGACTCACCTCCAGAGCTGGCATTGAAAGCAATACATGTGTGGATTGGGCAACATCAGCTGCATGAATGTTGTTGTGGTAGGCAACATCAGCATGATAGTGATCTTCCAGGGTCATCATGAATGTGATGAAGGTGTCCGCAGGAATGTGAAAAGATTTCAGCAAGTCCCTTTCCTACAATGTGGAGAATACAGAAGGAAGCTGCCATGACCCCCTCAGTCAAATCTTCATCAGGGGAAAAGGGAAAAGAAGGGCTGGAGGAGGAACTCATGGAACCAAAATAGGCCTTTCTTCGGAGGGTTCAGAAGTAGCCAGGGGCAGAATAAATCTATTGCTCCAGCCACTGTTCCTGAAAAAATATCTCACAACTTCCAAGTTGATCAATATGACGTTGTTGCAAAGTAGGCATAACAAGCAGAGTGACGTAAATGTGCAAGGCTTCAAAGGGGTGTGGAAGTGGCTCTTAGTGACTAAAATGTTAGTTGCCTATGTTGTACCTGCATTACATTACTCTTTTTGACTCCCTCCTTTTCTTTCAGGCCAATGGCCCTGTTCAATGATGTCTGCAATATCTCTCCTCTACCATTTAGCTTCTGACATTTCAATAACAACTTTGTGAACCTGGTACTTTTGTGAAAAAGAGTCAGCTCACCTGGAAGATGCTATACATGATGACTGTTAGCGGGCGGTGGCCAGAATACTCGGCAATCTTGAATACATCAAGGCCCCATTTGTTCACATCTTCTAGTTCCTAAAGGGAGTGGAAAGAAAGGGTAACTGTAATCTTGGACTCTTCAAACTAGCAAAAGCAGGAGGAAACTGCCTCCTTGTCTTTCCAAATAGGAAGACTTTCCCAGCATAACTGAAGCAACATATAAAAAATTACTGAAGTTTTCAGTAGAAAGACAATTAAAATAAATAGGAGCAAGAACACCAAAAATGCAAACTGAAACATACAAACTGAAGTTCAGCAGCCTAGTGGTACATTGCATCATTAAGTAGAACTGATTCACAATATATTGTGGTCAACTGAAAGGGATAGCTTTTATCAAAAAGGTATTGCGGAGACTGAAATGGGAATATATGGCTCCTAGATTTTTTAAAATATATATAACCAGGTTCTTGTCTTTTTTTTCCTGTCTCAGTATCTTTCTGATTCCTTGTATTTTCTTATTTCTTTTTCTTCCAAATCATTCAAATTTTCCTCTCTAGATATGCCTCCATCTTCCACTCCCCCCACTTATTTTTCCTTTTTTCATTCTCTGTTTTTCCATTTCATCACTCACCCAGTCACAGTTCCTTCGCCTCTTCTCAGTTTTTATTTGAGTTCCAATATCGCCCTCTGGATTCCTCCCTCCCTGTTTCCATAAAGATTCTTGTCTTCCTTTCCCCCATTTAGTTTCCCCCTCTTAGTTTCCCCTGCCAGATGCCCTTCTTTCTCCCACCAATCAAATGATCAATCAAATTATTACCAAGATGTTTTACAGCAGGTTTAAAAACACTAAGGTAAAAATGAAACACTAAGCAATTAAAACAACATGAAACTGGCAGGTTTCCATGCACGTAACAAGCAGCACAATTATGTTCCACAAGGAAAAGAGTTTTTGCTTACTGCTCAACAGGAAGCAACCAAGGGGTGTCCCACAACTGTGGAGCCACAATTAACAATATCTATTGCATCCCCCCTCTCTCTCCCCGCAGACTCCAAACTGATCTGTAAACCTGGGAAAAAATATACCTCACCACCCAAACAGGCCTTCAGTTAAGGCTCTTACTATAGTTAAGCTGTGCAGTTTGGAGATTAGAAACTTGCTTTTAAATGCTTCAGGCTGAAGGATTTCTTTATGTTGAGCATTACATTCTACAGTACATTTGGATAAAATTGCAGAATACACATATACAGCCATAATATACAGTGAACCATGCCAGCTTCCCTGAACAAGAAACCCGTCTTCTCTGGCACTTGGCGTTTCTCACCTTAGCCAATGGTCCCTCCTGATCCGTTTTTACTCCAAAACGAGGGATGGCAGCGCAATTGAAGCTGGAGCCATGCATCAGTTTTTTTACACCACTGATCTGTGACATTGGCCGCTTCTTTTTCTCCTTGTCTTTTTCTTTGGGAACAGAGGTTGGGATTTCCACCTCATGCTGCTTGTCTGGAGGAGACAGAAAATACAATAGCAATGGAACAAGTCCTGTTATGAGGATCCCCAGAATTCTGCAGAAGCTTATGGGAATTCCTACTGAGATAATGAATGACAATGGAGAAGCTCCCCTAAAGAAACAGCTTCCCTGCAATGAAGGGAACAAAATATAGAGCCTAGGCTAGCAGCATAGATGATGTGATTGTTCACTATAAGATCCGGGACCTTTATGAACTTCCTTTATCTGTGATGAAAAAATGGTGTCATGACAGTATCTTGAAAATCTCCAAAGAATCAACATAAAGTTACCAAATCAGATCCTTGCTCATATTAATCTGATGAGCATAGTCCCATTGTCTTATTATGCAATATGGCACCATCCATCTCCATGAAGCTTTACAAAATCTAAATTCAACACAAGAAGTAAGAGGAGGAGAGGGAAAAGGATGAAAAAACAATATCTTGTGAAACCCTTTAAAAGCACACACTCTTTCTCCCCAGTTGGAGTTGGGGACTCAGCCTTCTCATTTCAAAGTTGTTATGAGCTAGCAAATTCCCTACCCAGCATTAACAATTGTCTTCCTAGGAACAACATTTCTGAAACCAAAGAGTTAAGCATGCTGGAAAAGTGGAGTATGAAAAGCCCCCACCCCTGCACGAGTCTCCTGCTGTTCAGAGGGAGACCCTCCCCCAATATTGAGGCACAGAAGGATTGACGTCAGCAGAAACTAATAATATTACAGACACCATGGCAACCAGAGACAATGCGTGGTGGAATGTCAGTCCTTTCCTCAAAGTGATGTTTCTAAGACCAGCCAGGGTCTCCCCACCTCACCTGTCTTCTCTCTCTCACACACACACACATGTATACACTCAAACTTGTTTAACGCATGAGCAAAAAAAAAAAAACACATACATGGAGAGAACAAACAAGGGAAGAACTTTCTGTTAAACTATTTTGTAAAATGCAAGGCTACGTACTACGTGACTTTCCTATAACATTTTAATTTTTTAAAATTGCTAAGAGAAATCACTATTTAAAAGCACCAATAGTGGTATAATCAAAGCATATTCTTCATTAATAGAAATAAGATTTGAATAAGAACAACAGGATTAGGATTTAATTCCAAGATAATTGCTTAGAATATTTTTTGGTTGATCCAGCTTTTTTCTTTTTAATATCATACAATGTTCGTACTCATTTTCAGACAAATTCCTTTATTGTAAGACTATCATTATCTGGGCTGCATACATCTGGATGGTCATGATTATCATTAGAAGGCAAGAGATACAAATAACTTGTTGCAGTCGTCTCATGGCTGTCCAGATGTTTTCAGCTTAGATATGGTCATCCTATTCTAATGACCCTTTTTTAGAAGTGTTGTATTTTAAACAGCAGTATATTATGTCAATGTCCTTTCAAACCAGCAGAAATTTTAGTTATTCAGGGTCTTCTGTTACTGACCTACACATCCATTCATTAACAGAAGATCTTTAAAAGGAGTCTCCTTGTGCAAAGCTAAGAAGAATGTACTTGAAAAACAAGGAGGCAAATTTGAACTAGAATTCATGCATTTACTTGTAGATATTTATAGCTTAATAAAGACCAAAGTTTCTCTCCTTTTGTGAGTTTCAATTTGCACATCAAGGCTAGGTTAAATATATTGTTGCCTACTAGTCTTGTGCATTATCAGTGCACTTGATGTACATTTTGTTATTTTATATATTTCTATATAGCTTTACATACAGTTGCTTCTCCAGGTGGTTTACAACAAAATTATTAAAATACAATAATAAAGACAATATCTAAATCACTATGAAACTAGATTTGTGCAACGGATTAAAAAGAGTACATTAGCCCAAGAGAAGCACTTCTCTTTGAAGCATTAAAAAAGCCACTTCCCTCACAAAGCTCATGCAGTTGCTTCAAACCTGTTCCAGTTGTCTCTGCCTGTATGTGCATATATGTGCAAAGACTGTCAGAGAAGTGAACTAGCTGGGCATGCATGTGCATACAGAGAGCGCCAGGGAAAGATTTCAAAACAGCCATGCCATTCTTGTCAAGGACATGGTTGCCTTAATACTTTGAACAGAGACACTTGGAGAAATGGCTGTTTCGAATGCTATGCCCAGCTCTGATAAAAAACAAAATGGGAGGAAAAAAGAGAACAATCAAAAGAGAAATGATTCAATCAACTTTCATATTCGAAAGACCAGGGTGAAGAGACAGGTCTTCAGCAGGATTCTAAAAAATGTAATTGGAGACATATTGTGAATTTCAAGCAGAGAGCATGCCACAGTACAGGTGCTGCCCCTAGAGTGAAAGTCTACTTGCCTCCTTGTGTGTGAGTGTAAGATATCAATTTCTTCATTAGGGCATGCATAGAAATACTGATGACCTAAGACTATTTTAACTAAGCTTTTTATTCTGTATTCCTGTATATATCTATCTTTTGGCCTATTTGTCTGTCTGAAAGCTGAGGATAGCATTTCATGAATCTGATAAACTTTGGAGAATTAAAGTCAAGTATATGTTATAATTGGCTATTCTTCTCTGTATGCTTGCATTACACTCTTCACATTTGGTAAGTGCTATTCTGGATAAGATCTGATGTACATTTGCTGCCCAGTGTTGTGTAATTTTTTTATATTCGTTGATGGGGTCTGGGATCCAAGAAAAGGATCTTGGGATTGCAGTGATTATCTCAAACAAGACATCGCCTCAACATGGAGTTCCTATTCAAAAGGTCAGTTCCATTTTGGGGATCTTTAGGAAAAGAACTGAAATTAAAGCTACCAGTTTCATAATCTAGTATACAATTACTACACTTTTAAAAATAATGTTATAGTACTGGAAAAGGTGCAGGAAAGAATAACCAATATATTTAAGGGGCTGAAGCAAATCCCCTGTCAGTTAAATATATAAAAATCTGGGGAATTTAGATAAGAAAAGATATACAATAGAGGATATATGCTAGAAATCTTAAAATAGCCAAAATGCAGCAACAGTGAATAATGGATCTCTCAGGAAGAGCAATTTAATGATGGGAGATTTGGGACTAATTACGGGAAGCACTTTTCAGCAAACAAAAAGTTTAACTATGGTATTCACTATCACAAGTTACAGTGATGGATGCCGACTTGGATAGTTTAAAAAGGAGATTAGGCAAGAATGAGGTTGTCAGTTACTGAGGGTGTATGTTACTACCAGTATCAGATGAAGTATACTTCTGAATATCCATTATGGGGAAATACAGAATAGAGTTGGAAGAGACCTTAGAAGTCACCTAGTCCAACTTCCTGCTCAGTATAGGATCCACTAGAACATTCTGAAGATGACCATTCAGCCTCTGTTTGAAGATCTCTAGAGAAGGAGAACTCATCACTTCACGTGGCAGCCTATTCCACTGGTTGTCAGCTTGTACACTGAGGAACTCAGCTTGTACATGAAGGAGATGACATTTATGTCTTCCTTATAGGTTTCCCAGTGGTGTTTGGTTGGTCACTGTAGGAACAAAATATTTGACTAGACAGGCTTGATAGGTCTGCTATAGCATGGCTCCCCAAGATTTCTGTTTATGGTATTTTAACAAGGGAATAGTGATAATCTCACAAGAAGGATGCCAGTTGTTCAAGAAACTTGGAGTCTGAAGATACTGCAAAAGAATTAGATTTTTTCAGTTTTATTTCTAATGTTCTTTAAGCCCTGTTTTTTATGTATGGCCTACTAGGGAATGTACCAGGATCACAAAGAGCAGTATGTAGGCTGCTGTAGAATAACATTTCTTTAACAGTTTACATCTGCCTCCCCTTAGAAAAATGACTATCCCACTCTTCCATATCAATTTAACAATTTCCTCAAGAATTGCATTTGAAGACCATAAAGCTGATGACTCACCCAAGAATGTGTTGGAGATGTACTCGGATACCTGGTTTCCAGAACGGCTTGTTTCCGAGAGGTGTGTCAGTTCTCGATTGAGCATTCTTTTGAACTAGAGACAGAAAGGAAATCAAGCAACCTGTAAGGAGCCATCACTGCATTTGGATCAGGAGAATTTGAATCCCATACACCTGGCCTTAAAGATACCATTGAACAGAAGGCCATTGTTGAAGAAAGAGATCGGTGGCAAGGAAAGATATTCCAGACAAGATACTTCAACAGCAGAAGAATGTCTCTGAGTATACTTTCCCTCTCATTTCTGAATTTTCTCAGCTGGCTTCTGGCTGTATTCAGAATCTGAGAAAGGATTGGCAAATTGCAAACAAAGATATCCATCCAGCTTGATTTCTAAACAATTAAATAATAGGCATTGGGGTACTGTAGAACCTGGACATGAAAATGACTCAAAAGAAAGCAAATTTTGAAATGTGCAGAAGAGAAGCTAAACCACAGCAAAGTCTTTTGATGAGCTGCAAACATTCATAATTTCTGTCTTCTTGTTATTTTGTAGGCATTTCAAATTATGTACATTATTGGTAATATGTATAGCCAGGAGAGGGAGAAACACCAAAGACAATTTAAAAATGATGACTTAGGGAATTCTGATTGCACAAAACCTTAGATGAACCTTCAAATTTAGACTTTTAAAAGTGAAAATTTGAAAATTTTCAAAAATCAAAGGTGAGCTCAGGAATCTTACTTCCAAATGAATGCAAAAATTCATTTTTATCTCTGGAAAAGAGAATACACAAAACAAGGAGCTCCACAGAGGATTGGGTTAGATGGTCACAAATGCAAAGATGCATTCGTGTTGTATATTTTGCTGTTTTTCTCAAACATGACCTAGTTCCAAGTCAGATATGCTAGATTCCATCTATACTGAAACAAGCCTTCCATCCTATTATAGGATTCACCTTAATTAAAAAGAATTATACTTCTGTGAGACAATGTGGAGTTATATTCTATTATAGGATTAATGCACCTTGTCCTTTCCCAGAATTTTTAAAAAATTCAGCTGGTCTGAAGAAGAGTTCTGTATAACTCAAAACACACGATTGCTTTGATTACATTTTTTTTTTGCCGACTTTGAAATAAACTTCTTTTATAAATGTCTCTTCCTCAAGTGGCATATTATTTGGGGGAGGGGACAGACCCACTCTGAAGTATTGTTTCGTCTGGGTGATGGTAAGCCATGGTTTCTCAGTGAGTTCCTTAGAAGGTATTTTCGTCTAGGCTAAAAAAAAAAAGCACAACTGATGAATCAAAAGCAGATACCCCCATGAGCCCCCAAGATAAGGAGGAGATATCTGAACAATTAGAGAAAAAAATGCATCCCCACTGCTGCAGAACAGCATGCATTTAGGGGTGTGCATATGCATGTGTGTGCATTTCATGTTTTGTGTCTGTGACTAAATCTTTGCAGCGGCAAAACCCCTTTCCTGCACCCCTTGCTGGAGAGATTTGCCAAGAGTTACAAGAAACATTTGCATTGGGGAGTCCCCGCTTACCTTGATGCTGCTGCCCCAGAATGCGAACAACGAAGTGCTGGCGTCAGGCATCGCAACGCCAAAAGTGCCAGCTTGTGTGCGAGCCCACCCTTCTCTCTGAGGCGCCCTAGTCAGACCACGGATGCTCCTACACAGGGGCCTGAACCTGCTGTCCCGAGCTCTACAACAAGGAGCCCAGGACTTGTCTGCAACGCTGAGAGTCAGGACAGAAGGTGAGGAGGGGGACGAAGTCCCCCTGCATCACTGCCGAAGAAAGGTTCTTCCATGGATGTACCAAGGCTGCTCCAGCATCAGGTACCTCTCCTTTCTGCTGCCATCCAATCAGAAGCCACAGCCACAGAGGCTGGAGCCAGCTCGGCTCTCTGATTGGCTGGCGGAGCCTCTGAGGAAGGCGATTTGCTTTAACCCCGATGGTGCCCAGGCACAACAGAGCATGGAAGTTGTTTCCAAAAACTCTGTTTAGCAACAGCCAAGGTTTTCAGAGAGATTGGGGAAGAGGAACGCTGGGAGATAATCCCCTCCCCCACTTCACTTTCTTCAAGAAAACCATTGACAACTGGGGAGAATAGTCTTCCTAGGGTGAACAAAGGCTGTAGAGGGCTCTTTTTTTTTTTTTTTTGGTAAAGAGAGCTCACAGTGGAGGGAAGCCTGATCTTTTTCAGATTCTCAAAGTGGCAAGGGGAGAACACTTATTTGAACTTCTCCCTGCCTTCCTGCCATAGACAGGCTGAGTTGGCACATCTTAGGCTAAAATGGAATTGAGTAGCTTGGTGTTGTCTGGTCAATGAACCAGGCCATTGTATTAAGCCATCATATAGTTGGTTTGGGCATTGCACGTTATATAAGCGTTGCAAATGTGTTTTATTATCCCATTCTTATGGTTTGATGTGTTCCCCAATACAGACCATCTTTTTCACTGGGTTCCAGCTCAGTATATCTTTTTTTCTCCATTATTTTTGGTCCATGGAAGCCAGTGGACCAGAAAGCAGGAATATATAAAAATGGAAACAACTAACTTATTTTATTGCCTTGAATGAAAAGTAGCCAGCCATCTCAGCATTTTGAATACGGAACCATACTTTTATTTTCCCCCAACTGTCTCCTCTGACATCTTTCTGCTGAAATACGTAAAAGTTATTTATAGCAGTTGCTTCTGATCCCTTATGACTGATATCATGGTTTGTTTATTTGTTTGACTGGTCAACTAAGGCTGCCCTTCAGGAAGTTCTGTACTGCTTTTCTTCAGAGGGAAGAATAAAGTGGACTGTGGGGAGAGGCGCTGTCTGATGGCCACTGACCCAGAGCAGCCCTTCCACAACTCTCTAGTTCAGTGTTTCTCAACCTTAGCAACTCTAAAATGTGTGGACTTCAACATCCAGAATGGCTGGCTAGGGAATTCTGGGAGTTGAAGTCCACATGTCTTAGAGTTGCCAAGGTTGCGAAACACTGCTCTAGTTGGAACAGCACAGGGATATATCTTGGGGAGAGGTGCACTGGACAAACAAGAGTTGCAGACTTCTAGAATAACACAAAACTGCTTTGCAACGGCAAAGGTAGCTTGTGGCCCTGTTGTAAGCAGTAACCCCACTTCTCAGCCTTCAGCTCTTCCCCAAATTTTAACCTGCTTCAAGTCAAAACTCTGCAGCTGAGTTTCCATAATTCATTCCTGCATAATTTCCTTGGCTTCTTCTTTTCCTGCAACACCTTATGCCATTTTTAAAAAAAGAAACAAGTCCATGGCCATGACACCAATGATCAGCTCTCTGCCAAAAGGGAAACTGATACCCAAGGCTGGCAGTGGTCCAGAAAAAGAGAGAAGGAGGGGGCTTCCTACCTTTGGAGTTGAATCTCAACCTGTGTTGAATGTCTTACCTTGTTGGAAGCCATCTCACTGACTGAATGACGTGTTTGCAAGGTCTCCAGCTGATCCAGGCACCAGTCTAACTCTTCCAAGGTCTCGATAGCCAATTTTTGGTAGGCATCCTCTGTGAAATGCAAAGCACATCACTGAAAATGCCAGTCTGGAAGGCATATCCGTGCCACCTTAGGCGCTGTTGAGTCTCCACACCCACTGAAAATTAGATTCAGAATGGCCAGAGACCTGGGTAACCCTAGGTGGAAACCACAGTGGTACATTCTAAAAACTGGTTGTAGTTTGAAAAAAATGGGCCAACTTTTTTTTTTTTTACTTTTCACATGTGTCATCCTCTGAGAACTACCAAGGTAGAGGCTGAGTATCATTAAAGCATAATAACATTGCAAGCAAGGTTAAAGAAAATGGGATAATATTTTATTGTTATCAAAGATCCCAGTTGGAATGTTTGGAATCAGCTGGGAAGCAAATCCAGAATAAACAGAACAGGATCATTTGATTCCAGAATATTGCATTAGCCTCTTTGGGGAACAAGATGCTGGTCCATGTGGGATTGCCAGAAAAATTATTAATGATTTATAAGAGAGTTGCTGCAACATAAATAAATGCTCTTATCTCAGACCATTTCCTTAAGAGTTGCAATGCTAATATTTTAATTTGTTTTCGGGATTTTTTTGTTAGTATTCTCTTTTATTCTGTAATTTTATTCTATAATAATTTGAAACAGCTGTTTGGACATTGTTTGATTGCCTGCTGGAAAGTAGCTTGCATATATTTTAAATGGCTAGAGTAGTGTTTCTTAACCTGAGCAACTTTGGCTGGGGAATTCTGGGAGATGAAGTCTATACTTCTCAAAGTTGCTGAGGTGAGAAACACTTCTTGGGCTAGAGAAATAAGACAGATAGTCTTTACTTTCAAGTAGCTTACAATCTATGTTTCAACCTTTCCTGGGCTCATGCCTTATAGAAAGCTAAGTTTAATTTGTTTTTGCCTTGATATGCAAGCCCATCCGTAGTAGCTTGGCATTATCTGTGAACCAAGGGGCTATGGTTTATTCAATACATCACGATCAACAAAATCCTGAATTTTAGGACAAGATCTTGGCTTTAGGCTGTCCTGGCATGATGTGAGTAATGGGTGAAAAGCCAAAGAGGCAAGGCAAGGAAGCAAAGGCAAGAAGAGAAAGGAAGAGCGGAATAATTTGTTGTACGCCGCTCAGGGTCATTTGTTTTGTGAGATGGATGACTATATAAATTTGACAAATAAATAAATAAATAAGGAGATAATAGAGGATTTCCTCCCTGCCATTCTGGGACTTTTGAACGCCACAGCCTAGGAATCGTGCTAAAGACTGCTCGGCCATAGCGTGGGTATGTAAGCTGCCTCCCCCTCACATTAACCTATCTCACTGGGAGCCATCCAACTCCCCCCCCCATTTGCTGCAGCATGTGCCTCTGTTGCAGCCCCTGGCTTCTGTCAGACAAGCCCACAGTGGTCGATATATGCTCCTGATATCGCCAGCCTTGTGGAAGGAACCCATTTGCCTGATGCCAGGGGTTGGCCAAAGGTTTAGCAGAATGCAGGAGAGAGGTGGTTCAGGTTGCCCCGAGGCAGGAAAGGAAGGGCTGCCCATCAGAAGGGCCTGGCTGTGGTGGGGCTGCAGAGACCAGCTGAAAGAGAGTGTTTTGAATAATGGAACAACTGACGTCAATTGGAGACATTCCACCCGCCGCAGAGGTGGCATGAAACAGAGCCAGAGAAGGAGGGGGCAGGGAGAGGGCAGCCCGGAGCAAACACAGACTGCAGAGGCTGAAGGGGGTGTGGCGGTTAGAGGTGGGAGGGCGAGTGCCCCATCATGGGCAAGGCAGGCCCCCGGAGGCTCTCGTCAGAATCACCAGCAGTGGGCCTCAGCACCACCCTCACGCACGGTGCATGAAAAGGAGCCGGTATCACCAGTACCCCCCCCCCCCGCCAGCTTTTCTCTTTAGGCAGAAGAAACCTTTTTTTCTTTCCACAGCTTCAGTACAGTTGGCTGCTGACACTGCATAGACACGAGCTATGAGGAGCCCACCAACTATCGGATTCGAACTTCTGTGCCACAAATTCACTTGGAAAAGGGCAAATGATGCAAAGATATTCAGAAATGGGAAAGAGTGAAGCGCGGGGGGGG